GCCTGTATATCACCAAGCCCGGGCTGCTCAAAACGATCAAGCAGCTCACGCAGCTTAACACGCTGTGAGCACGCGCTCTCCCCTCACGCCCTCTCCTCCTCACGCCCTCTCCCCCTCACACTCTCTCCCCCACACCTCTCTCCCCCACACCTCTCTCCCTCACACTCTCTCTCCCTCACACTCTCTCTCCCTCACACTCTCTCCCCACACCTCTCTCCCTCACACCTCTCTCCCTCACACCTCTCTCCCTCACACCTCTCTCCCTCACACCTCTCTCCCTCACACCTCTCTCCCTCTCTCGCCCTCCCCTGCTCCCTCAATCGCTCTTCAACAGCCATTTCATGTTTCTCTCTTTTCTCCGCTTAGCTGGGTTAGTTATCTTATCTGCTCTTTCCACTCCTTCCCCCCCTTCCCCTCCCCAAAACTCTTCCCCCCTCCCTTTCCTCTCCCCCCCCAGCGACATAACCAATGTGGCGGTGGGATTCACCACGGCTGAGCTTGACCTCTCGGGATTCACCAACCTCGAGAGCCTGTGAGTTGCTCTTGAAACGCGCCCGCTGCTCTGAGTTGTTTGCTTCAGCACGTCCCTGCTGTATCATCCGCTTTCAACTCCTCCCTCTCTGCCCTTCTCGCCACGCCACCTCATCGCACCCCTCTTTTCCTGCCTCTCCCCCATTCCCCACCCCTCCCCCCCAGCACGCTGCGCAACGTGCTGATGACGGGCCCCATCGCCAAGCTCAACCTCCCCTCGCTCCCCAACCTGCACTTCCTGTCAGTGCTGTCACTCGTGCTCCTCCCGCCCTTCGCCACCCGCTCGTTTCGTCTCCTTGCTCTCTCTTCTCCTTATCCCCCTAGCCCACCATCCTTATCTCGCTCTCATGTACCGTCGCTCTGTCGCTCTGTCGCTGTCCTCCCTCCTCCCGCACCGTCTGCTCTCTCCCCGTCCGCCAGCGACTTGGGCCAGAACCGGCTGACGGGGGAGTTGCCGGAGGGCCTCAGCAGCATCGTTCAGATGTGAGTGCCATGTCATGTTCAGCTGACTCGCTGCTGCCAGCCCACCTGATGCAACTGCTTCCGCTTTCCATCACCTGATGCCTGCGCTGCGTCCTGCTGCTGCTCACGCACTCTGTCGTCTGCTCTCCCCGCTCCCCCCATGCGTCTCCCCACACCGCCTGTGTGCGCAGGGATCTGTCCACCAACCAGCTCTCCGGCATGCTTCCCACGGACCTCCTCTCCTCCCCTAACGTCACCTCCATGTGAGCCCGCCCTCCCTCCCTCTATCCTCCCTCTTTTTTCCATCTATCCTCCTCTATTCCCCCTCTACTCTTCATCTATCTATCGTCCTTTGTTTCTGCCTATTATCCGTCTATCCTTCCTTTTCTCCATGAATCTATCACCCCTCGTTTCTCCTTATCCTCCATCTATCCTTTGTTGTTCACGTACCCATGCGAGTCTCCCCCTCCCTTGCTGTTTCAACATCTCCCTCTCCCCCCCCCGCAGCATGCTGTACAACAACAGGCTGCAGGGCGCTCTCCCGGACGTGTTCTCCTCTGCTACCAAGCTGCGCACGCTGTATGGTGCCATGGGTGCATGGCTTGCCGCGACCACTCGTCCCCATCATGCCATGCCATGGCATCTGCAGCACCATCATCACGCCGTGCTATCTCATCATCATCATCACGCTCACCACTCTATGATGCCACTGCACCATGTGAGCCTCATCACTATGTACTCCTCACCGCGCCCTATGCTTACCATCCCTCTCATCTACCCCTCCTTCCCCACCTCCTCTCTCCCTCATCCGTAGGGAGCTCTCATTGAACAAGCTCGTGGCACCCTCCCTCCTTCTCTCGCAGAGTCGCGCACTCTCACCTACATGTAAGCATCTCTTGCTTCCGTTCCCTCTTCCGTTCCCCGTGACCTCCCATGAAGGTTGTTTTCCTGCCAACTGTTTCACTCCTCACCCAACCACTCCCCTCGCTGCCCTCCTCTCCGCGCCACATCCCTCCCCTGCTCTCCCCTTTACCTGCCCCCCCCCGCGCAGCGATCTGAGCACCAACCAGTTCGTGGGCAAGTTGCCTCGCTTCTTTGCTGCCTGCACCATCACCAACGTCTCCGCATACCTGTACGGCTCATGCTCATACTGCTTCTCCAATCCTCCACCCTCACGTCTTCGCTGCTCAGATGCTTAGTCTGCTCACCAGGGATCCTGTTAACCATGCGCTCGTGGTAAGGTTCTCTCAATGCCCCTCTGGCGCCTGCTGCCCCCACTGCTGCCCGCTGTGTGTCTCTGTGCCTGTCCCTGTGTGTGTGTCTGTGTGTGTGCCTGTGTGTGTGTGCCTCTGTCTGTGTGGCTGCAGCAACGTGTCCAGCAACAAGCTCACGGGCAAGCTTCCCAACAGCCTTGCGCTCTACACGGCCCGCAACACCGCCGCACTCACACTGTACGGCCCTCCCCTCACCTCTTATGAACGGCCCTCCCCTCTCCTCCCATGAACGGCCCTCCCCTCTCCTCCCATGAACGGCCCTCCCCTCTCCTCCCATGAACGGCCCTCCCCTCTCCTCCCATGAACGGCCCTCCCCTCTCCTCCCATGAACGTCCTTCCCCTCTCCTCCCATGAACGGCCCTCCCCTCTCCTCCCATGAACGCCCTCCCTCTCCTCCCATGAACGCCCTCCCTCTCCTCCCATGAACGGCCTCCCCTCTCCTCCCATGAACGGCCCTCCCTCTCTCCTCCCATGAACGGCCCTCCCCTCTCCTCCCATGAACGGCCCTCCCCTCTCCTCCCATGAACGGCCCTCCCCCTCTCCTCCCATGAACGTCCCTCCCCTCTCCTCCCATGAACGGCCCTCCCCTCTCCTCCCATGAACGTCCTTCCCTTTCCCTCCCGCCCTCCTCTCCCCTAGTGTACGTCCCTCCCATCCCCTCCCGCCCCCTCTCTCCTAGTATGCGTCCCTCCCACCCTGCGCTGGTCATAGTGTGCGTTCCTCGTTCAATGCATCTCACTTTTCTAGCTGCGTACGTCCTCCCGTCCGCCCTGCCTGCGTTGTTAATCCCCTGCTACCCCGTCTGCCTTCCATCCCTGCCCCGCAGCGACCTGTCCTACAACGACCTCTCTGGCTCTGTCCCCGAGGGTCTCTTCGCCGCCGATGCCTTCTTCTACGACCACAACGACGGGCTCTGCGGGGCGCCCCACATCCCTGCCTGCAACGCCGATGGCACGCCCTCTGCTGATAGGGCTGGTGTCAATGAAACTGCTGCTGCTGGTGGCCTTTTCGGTGGTCCGCCGCGTGGGGAGCCTTACTTCAAAGATGACGGCACCATCGGGTATCTGCCTGTCGCTGATCCCGCCGACCCCGCCCCCCCTTCACCTGACACCGATGCTGCTGATGGTGGGTTTTCTGAGGGTGGTGCTGGTGAGGGTGGTGTTGCTGATGGTGCTGCTGACGACGGTGGTCCTTTTCCTGGTGCCGTTCCTATTTTTAACAAGGATGGCACCCGTCACGTTTCAGCTGCCCAATGCCTCCACCCCTGCTACCCCTTCTGCTGACACCAAGGCTGCTGCGGCTGACACTGCTGCCACTGCAGTGCTTCCAGCACCCCGGCTCTCACCTGCACTTGCGAGCAGCTGTCGGCTGGCGCCATCTTCGGCATTGCCTTTGGCGCTGCTGTGCTGGCGGGTGTGCTCGTGGCAGCGGTGGTGCTGACATGGCTGCACTATGGCAGCACCCGTGGGATGGCACGTGTGGAGGGCGCTGGGTTTGTGTTTGCGCCTCAGAATGGGGAGAAGATGGGCGGCGTTGGGGCCAAGGGGCCGAAGGACCTGGAGGCATACAACTAGGGGCAAGGATGAGTTTTTAAATCTCATAAGTTTCTATGGGTTTATCGAACATGGCAGTGTTTTCTGACTTACGGATGAAGGAAAGCTATTTATCAGCGATATTTTGGTTCTGTCATTGTTGATGTTTTTTGTTGTGATAAATGAAGTTTTGCATTCCTGCAACTTCCGTTTTTTGGTGTAGTTAGCAGTATCGAGTTTCTCGGTAAGGGAACAGGTCCGAGTGCTGATGTCACCAAAGCATCGCGCGTCTCGGGATTACGTCAGCATACCGCTTCAGTTACGCGAACAGTCGCGACTCTATAGTATGACGAATAGGTCGCATAGCGCGCAACTAGCCGAACAGGTACTTTCCCTAGAGCTATACGTCATTGTAATGCCTTTCTATTATTAACCTTGACTTTCCACCGAATTATGTGCTCAGGTTATTCAACCTTCGACTACCCACAAGTTCATGTGCTCAGGTTCACTCGGATAAGACTTCCGCTGTCTTACTAGTCTACCATTCCAGCAAAGATCCTTAGTTAAGTACTCGTGGTTGCAAATTCTATACTTGGTCTCCTGCACCACCTGTCAAAATATTACAGTTTTATGTATAATTTGCTGCTTTTGTTATGGAATAATATATATTTGTAGCAACCTCAAAACTGCTGTACATAATCGAGTGAAGCCTTTCCTGAGTCGTTGCCATCATTCCTGTGGTGACTGGGAAGCAGGGCTCTTGCTAAGCCTTGGGTGTTCCGTTGAGTCACGGAATCGGCCCCAAAATTACCCGTTAGTGGACGGAATTGCCGAAAAATTACCCATTAGCATACGGATCATCGAATGCAAATGGCCTTCACCACGGCTAAGGAAAAGCCCTAGAACCCCAAGGAACTCTCACACGTACTATGTCTTGAGCGGTTTGGAAGAGTACAAAACCCACCTCTTAATTTATCGACATAAGGGTAATTAGACTTTTTGGCCAGAGCCCTGCAGGGAAGCACATACATGGATGGACCATCCATGACTTCTGGTTCGCTTCGCTGACTGTATTCTATTCATCCATGGCTTCTCTCGCCTCCCAACTTGCAAGGCTGTACTCGGGAGGTGGCAACCTCCCACCCACCACCACCCACCCTCTTTCCCACACGCATCTCCGCCACTAGCTCCCCCTCTCTGCAAAAGCTTCGGGATTTGCGAGAGTAGCTTTGGGATATTCGCAAGAAGCCTTGGGACTGTCTGGTGTGTTCTAGGAATTGTCGCATGACGCCTAGGATCATTGCATGAAACCGATCATCGCACGAAGCCTAGGGATTGTCGCGCGAAGCCTAGCGATTGTCGCACGAAGCCGCGGAGCAGTCGCACGAAGCCTAGAAATTGTCGCACTTCTGGATTCAGCCAGTGTCAGCCTCGCCGCCATTGCGCTGACCATCGCTCTTTCCCCACTCGCTCGCGCAAGATATTATCCGCTGCAGTCTATAACGCTCAGCGCCTGCTGGCCCTGTTGAGCCCCTGCTTATAACGCGTATCGCTCAACCGAGACTCGTTTTCGTCCCTTGAGCCAGCTTTTTCGCTAGAGCGTTCGCAGGTTCGTTCGATTCTGCTCACTAGAGCACACAATTCCCAGTCGGATCTCACCGGACTTCACCGAGTTCCACCGTTTCGATCGCACTCTACTACGTGACTTCTATTCCGCCAGTCCGCCCGCATGGGGAGCGCAGGTCATGGGGACCAGCCCCGTGCGCCCGCCGTGCCCTCTGCGCCCTCCCCCATGCTTCTCCCTCTGCGCCCTCCCCACTTCCGCCAACGCGATTGGCGATCCCGCTCCCTCACTGGTTCCTCCTCCGCCTCCCTTGTTCCCACCCTGTGTTTCCCGCCTCCCGCTCCCCCTCCCGCCTTCCCGCGCCAATCCTCCACCTCCGCCGCGGTCTCCCCCTGCACGCAACTTGCGCCCGTCGCTCCCCGCCGCGCGCGGCGGAAGCGGGGAGCGCGGGGGGAGGACGCCTCCGCGGACGTGTCCCGCGAGTTCCCCAACGGGGACTCGTACTACGGGCACTGGGGGGCCGCGTGGGACGTTCCGCACGGCACGGGGTGCTACGTGTGGGCGGACGGGAGCGTGTACGAGGGGGAGTGGGCGCGCGGGGAGAAGCACGGGCAGGGGCTGTTCGTGTGGCCGTCGGGCGCGCGGTACAAGGGGGAGTGGGCGCGCGGGCAGATGCAGGGCGTGGGGAGTTACTGGGCGTGGACGGGTCGTTCTACACGGGTAACTGGGCGGCGGGCGTGAAGCACGGGCTGGGGCGCAAGCTGTACCCTAACGGGGACTATATACGAGGGATTCTGGTCATTTGGCGCGGGCGCAGGGGCCCGGGCGGTACGTGTGGGCGAACGGGAACGAGTATTTCGGCGAGTGGGAGGGCGGCATGATGAGCGGGTGCGGCACGTTCACGTGGGCGAGCGGGGAGAGCTACGAGGGCGAGTGGGAGGGCGGCGTGGAGCACGGCGTGGGGGCGTTCAGGTGGCGGGACGGGAGTCGGTATGAGGGCACGTGGAGCCACGGGCTCAAGGATGGGAAAGGGTGTTCTACCCTGCTGGGAGTAGGGGTGGGGAGGGATGTGGGGAGAAGGGGAGAAAGGAGGTGGAGGGGAAGGGGGGAGGAGGAGGGGTTGATGAAGGGGAGGGAGGTGAGGAGGAGGAGGATGAGGAGGGATGGGGAGTGGAAGGGGAGGAGAGGAGAGGGGAGGGGGCGGGAGAAGGAGGGGCGGGGGGGTGTGACTGGTGTGGGAGACAGGGATGGTGGCATTGCTGCCAGTGCTATCAACGGCCACAGTCATGATGCGTATGATGCACTCACAGCAACAGTTGCCGCGCCAGTGGCAGTGATCCTGTCTGATGTATGCGGGGTTGAAAAGGCCGCCGCATCTCAGATACTTCCTGGTAGCTTTTCGATGCCCAAGCAAGCTCCGGACCTGATCTCAGGCTCGTTCAATGCTGGCTCGGTGGGCTCAGCTTCGGCGAGGCTGGTTCGGAGGCAGACCAGCGGCAGTGTGGTGGGCGGTGCAGCAGCAGCAGGAGGGGGAGGCGGAGGGTGAGGGCGTGCAGCGGATGCTGCAGAAGCGGCTGACGGAGGGAACGAGGGCGCTGGAGGTGGCTCTGGGCCCACAGAGAGCGTCTATCTGGCCGCTGACGCCGTGCCCGCCATGCCCCGCCCTGACCCCAGCCCGCACGGCCGGCCCACAGGGGAGAGCAGGAGAGGGGGGAGAGACGAGGGGAGAAGGGAGACAAATTTGAAGGGAGGGGATGGTGCAGGGAACCTGGAGGAAAGGGAGGAGAGAATGGCGATCGTGAGCGAGAGAAGATTGGAAGGGCATGGCAGGAGTGCTGGGATGGCAGGCGAAGGGATCAAGGCTGCAGGGGCGAGCAAGGGCAGGGCAGTGAGAGAGGCAGACATGTGGCGGCCGCTGATTGGCAGCGATGCTGAGAGCAGCCAATGGGGAGCAAGCAGTAGTGCAGCAGTGGTGGTGGATGGGAGGGAGGCAGGGGGTGTGAGGGAGGAGAGAAGGAGCTTGGGGGGAGGCAGGTGGGGGGAGTGGGGAAGGTGAAGCGGGGGAGATGGGCGAATGGCGCAGATGGGGCAGTCACAGTGATAAAGATGAGGAGAGCAATAGTGATGGCCATGGTGATAGTGATAGTGATGGGGATGGGGATGGTGATAATGCATGTAGAGAAGCTGCAAATGGGTCCATGCATGCAGGATCCACCATCCTCCTGTGTATCCGCGGTCACAGTCGTCTTCAACGCCATCGTCTGTACGACCATGGGGCCGACCCCCTCTCATTCCTGACCGCTCGCCCTTGCTGCGCACAACCCTCACCATGCTGCTCCGCCCTGCGCCCACCTGCCGTTCTGATCGCTCTCACGCACTACCTGACCGCTCTCTCCCTGTCCCCGGCCACCCTCTCTCGCACTTCCGCAAGCCCAGTGACGACTTCTTCGTGGGGCTGTCCTCGGCCAATGGCAGCAGCACACGTGGCAGCCCTGGCAGCGGGAAGGCCATGCGGAAGTGCATGTCGGGGCCGCTGCAGCCTCGGGTGATGCAAGAGAGGGAGGGCGGCGGCGCAGAGGACGTGGATTGAAGGCTGATGGTGGGGCGTTGCTGGGCGAGGGAAGGGGAGAGGGGCCCGAGGACGAGGGGGATGGTGATGGCAGGGTGGATGCAGTGTCGCGGCCAGTCACAGCGAGCCACGTGTCGGAGGTGGATATGGAGGGCACCAGGACAACTGGAAGGTGTGGCGGGAGGAGGCCCCTGTGGGCTGGAGGCACCACCTGGGGCTGCGCGCCTTCCCTGCTGCGCCCCCTGCTGCCCTCCCTGCTGCTCCCCCTGATCCTCCTCCTGCTCTAACGCCAGCTCAGTACCTCCTGCTGCCAGCTCAGTAATCTGCGGCTGCCAGCTCAGCAGCGCCAGCAGCAGCTGCAGCACCAGCAGCACCAGCAGCGGTGGCGGCAGCGGGTGGAGGGGAGGGGGCGCAGTCGCCATGGGGCATCACACGCGCGCTCACCATGGGGCCTGTGCCGGGGCGCAGGCAGCGGTATGCAGAGGGGGAGGAGGAGGGAGAGGAGTACGGGGTGCAGGAGAGAGGAGGTGAGAATGGGGATCTGGAGGAGGAGAGAGGGGAGGAGTTGGAAGGAGATGAGTGTGGAGAGGAGGAGAGGGTAGCAGGCAGGGAGGGGGTGAGGGGAGGCGAGGGAGCGGCATGTGAATTGCACAGTGCAGCCCCCATGCCGCCACACCCCCTATCACCAAGTGCACACATGCGCAGCCATGCTCTGGGCCAGGAGCAGGAGCAGGGCCATGCGCGTGCAGGGAGGCCCGTGGGGCATGGGCGTGGGCGCGGGTACAGCGTGGGGCACTTCCCGGTGCTGGAGGCGGTGCGGGACGCTGCCATGGTGCGGGAGTACGTGCAGGGCGTGCTGGTCAACCAGGAACCACTCACCACCCACGTTCAACCTCCCGGTACGCGTGCACTGCACTGCCGCTTTCACGAGAGCGTGCATGCAAGGAGTACCAGTGAGCCACGAGGCGCCCACGAGCCAAGTTTACCCACCGGACCACATCGATGGCGCCGCCATGCCTTCCCTCTCCCCCCTCCCCATGCCCTGCTCCGCTTCCGCTCTGCCCGTCTCCCTTTGCGTCAGCCCATTCACCTCTGCGCTGCCACACGCCCATGGCCTCCTCTCCTCCCCCCCACTCCCGTTCTTTACCCCCTTTCCTTTCGCCCCTCCCCTCTCTGCCCCTCCGCGTATGCTGGCAGCGGTGGCACGTGCCGCGGGGCCGCGAGGGCAAGCGGGCGGGCGAGCTGATCTACAAGGGCCACCGCAGCTACGACCTCATGAGGACGCTGCAGCTCGGACTCAGGTAGCTTGCGATGCGGAATATTCCTCCAAACTGGAATCAGAAGTACCACATAAACACCAGCACATTCTGCCTCCCTTTCCTCACATTCCGAGTCGCCCCCTCACCTGCCCTTGTCCCATCCTTCCCCCTTCTCTCCCCTCCTCTCCCCCCCCCCCCCCCCCCCCCCCCCTTCTCCTCTCCCTCCCTGCAGGCACAGCGTGGGGCGCATCACCCCGGACGCCCTGAGGGACGTGCAGCAGGCCGCCTTCCCTCTTACCGTGTCCCCATTCCTCTCCTCCTCTCCGCCTCTCCCCCTCTCCGCCTCTCTTGTCGCCTCAGGCACAGCGTGGGGCGCATCACCCCGGACGCCCTGAGGGATGTGCAGCAGGCCGACTTCTCCGACTCGTCTGCTGTGCGCTTCCCGCCGGCAGGGTCGCCCACCACGCCGCCGCACTCCATGCATGCCTTCAAGTGGCGCGACTACTGCCCCAACGCCTTCAGGTGTGTATTCCTGCTGCCCCAACGCCTTCAGGTGTGTATTCCTACTGCCCCAACGCCTTCAGGTGTGTATGCCTGCTGCCCCAACGCCTTCAGGTGTGTATTCCTGCTGCCCCAACGCCTTCAGGTGTGTATTCCTGCTCTTCTTACTCCTTTCCTCACTTGGTATGTCTGCCTTCAGCTGACTCCATTTCCTCGTTTCTTTGATATCTCCCCTCGTCTCCCAACTCCCAGTTCTCCCTTCCTTTTGCAACCCTCGTTCTCACCACATCTTGCTGACTCCTCTCGGTCCCATTCTCTCAACCCCCGTCTCCTCTCCGGGCGCTGCGCGCCATGTTTGGCATCGACCCAGGCGACTACTCGCTGTCGCTGTTCTTTCCCACTCCTTCTCTCACTCCGTCACTCGCTCCTCTTGTCTCTGCCTCCCCTCCTCTGTCAGGGCGCTGCGAGCCATGTTTGGCATAGACCCGGGCGACTACATGCTCTCTCTGTGCGGGGACGACGCGCTGAGGGAGCTGAGCAGCCCGGGCAAGTCGGGCAGCGTCTTCTTCCTCTCGCAGGACGACCGCTTCATCATCAAAACCATGCGCCATGCCGAGGTGCAGGTGAGCCTGGGCCATGGGGCCGTTGGGCGTGGTGAAGAGCAGGTGAGCGGGGAAGGGCCATGGGGCCATTGGGCGTGGTGAAGAGCAGGTGAGCGGGGGAAGGGCCCTCTGAACTATCACATGCCGTACCACCTCATAGTTTTGAGGCGCCTCAAAACTATCACATGCCGTACCACCTCATTCTCTGCCTCCCGTATCTCGCTCCCTGCGCATGCCACCAGCCTACCACCACCCTTGTCAGCCCAACCCCATCTCCCCTCCCCCCCCCCCTCTTCCCTAATCTCACGTGCTCCTTTGAATGCTGCACGTGTACTACCACCACGTGCGGCGCCACCCACATACTCTCCTCACCAAGTTCTTCGGGCGGCCACACCATCAAGCTCTAGCACACCGCCTCCCTTGTTGATCCGCACCCCATTTCCCCCCTCCCTAATCCCAGGTGCTTTTACGGATGCTGCCTGCCTACTACCAACACGTGCGGCGCCACCCACATTACTCTCCTCACCAAGTTCTTCGGGCGGCACGCCATCAAGCTCTAGCACACCGGCCTCCCTTGTTGATCCGCACCCCATTCCCCCCTCCCTAATCCCAGGTGCTTTTACGGATGCTGCCTGCCTACTACCAGCACGTGCGGCGCCACCCACATACTCTCCTCACCAAGTTCTTCGGGCTGCACGCCATCAAGCTCTACCACACTGCCTCCTCGCACACCGCCGCGCTCGTCGCCGCCAAGGCGGGCGGCCGCGAGACGGTCATCCGCTTCGTGGTGATGGCCAACCTCTTTTGTGTCACCGCTGCGCATGCACCGCCGCTTCGACCTCAAGGGATCGTCGCAGGGCCGCAGCACCGACAAAGTGGCGGTGGACGAGACCACGACTCTCAAGGACCTGGACCTGGACCTCGCGTTTCATCTCCATGAGGATTGGAGGCCGCTCTTGTCGCAGTAAGTGGTGGTTTGACCTCAAGGGGTTGCGCAGGGCAGGAGCACAGAATGACTTTTGAGTCGACTCAGAGGCAGGAGAACGGACAAGGTGGCGGTGGACGAGACCACCACGCTCCAGGATCTGGACCTGGCGTTCCACCTGCATGAGGACTGGCGCCCGCTCTTGTCGCAGTAAGTGGTGGTGGGAGGGTCCCGCTGGTGAGGGTGCTGTGGTGCTGCAGGTCGACCTCAAGAGGTCGTCGCAGGGCTGCAGCAAGGTGGCGGTGGATGGAACCCCCACGCTCAAGGACCTCCACTTGGACGTGGCGTTTCACCTGCATGTTGAGTGGCGCCCGCTGCTGCTGCTGCTGCAATAAGTGGTGGTGAGGGTGGTGAGAGCGGTCTGTGTTCTTTCCTGCTTCACCGCGGCCCTCCCATTCTCCTATCCTTCGTGCCCACCCCCCTCTCACCCTGCCTCTCTCCGCCCCCACCAGGCAGATAGCAGCGGACTGCGCCTTTCTGGAGCGGCAGTGAATCAAGGACTACAGTCTGCTGCTGGACGTGCACTTCAAGGGCCCCTAACCCTCACCCCCTCTCTCCCCCTCCCACCACTGGCCCTCCCCCCCTCTCTCAGGCAGATAGCATCCGACTGTGCCTTTCTGGAGCATACTAGCCTGCTGCTGCAACTCAAGGCCCCTCAATCACTCACCCACTCTGTCGCTGTCCACATCCCCCTCTCCGCGGCCACAGGCAGATAGCATCCGACTGTGCTTCCTGGAGCGCCAGCGCATCATGGACTACAGCCTGCTGCTGGGCGTGCACTTCAAGGCCACCAGCCCGCCGCCCGCCCCCATCGTCACCATCGCCGACGCGCAGCTCGACGACCCGCGCTCCGCATCCCTTCGCCACGACGCGCCCAACCCCACAATAACACCCTCAGGTACTCGCCTCTCTGCCATCGCTCTTGTCCTCTTTCTCTGCCGCGTCTCTCCCCCCCTCTGTCCCCGACCTCCCCTCCACACCCCTCTGGCTTCTTCGCCCTCCCGACCCCACTTCGCCTGCTCATTGCCCTCCTCGCTTCTCGTGGCTGTGCCGTGTGCCGTGCGTTGTGTGCCGTGTGCCGTGTGCCATGTGTCGTGTGTCGTTGTGCCGTGTGCCGTGCGCTGTGTGCGTCAACCCACCCTAGGGAAAGAGCAAGGGCCCGCTGACCCATCACTTGAAGAGGACGGGCAAAGGAAGGCGAGAGATGGGGAGGAAGGCGGCGTGGAGAGGGATGGCCCAGGAGAGGTGGGAGAGGCGCAGCAGGCCCAGCCACCAGGGACTGACACAACTGCCTCAAGGAGGCTCAATGCCCCGCCCCCCTTGCACCAGGTCCGCTGCTCGCACTCTCAGTCGTACCTCTATTCTCCTTCTGAAGGCCGCCATCTTTTCCAACTCTCACCCCCCTGGGTCTCACCCCCGTGGGTGAGTGACCGTCGAAAGCACATTGGTTGAAAGCACACTGGTCGAAAGCACACCAGTCGAAAGCACACCAGTCGAAAGCACACTGGTCAAAAGCACACCGATCGAAAGCGCACCGGTTGGAAGCACTCCGGTCGGCATCACTCCGGTCAGAAGCACTCCGGTCGGAAGCACTCCGGTCGGCAGCACTCCGGTCGGACGCACTCCGGTCGGAGGCACTCCAGTCGGAAGCACTCCGGTAGGAAGCACTCCGGTCGGCAGCACTCCGGTCGGAAGCACTCGATCGGCAGCACTCCGGTCGGCAGCACCCTGGTCCAAAGCACTCCGGTCGGCAGCACTCCGGTCGGCAGCACTCCGGCCGGAAGCATTCCGGTCGGAGGCACTCCAGTCGGAAGCACTCCGGTAGGAAGCACTCCGGTCGGCAGCACTCTGGTCGAAAGCACTCCGGTCGGAAGCACTCCAATCGGCAGCACTCCGGTCAGCAGCACTCTGGTCCGAAGCACTCCGGTCGGCAGCACTCCAGTCAGCAGCACTCCTGTCGGCAGCACTCCGGTCGGCAGCACTCCGCTTGGCAGCACTCTGGTCGGCAGCACTCCGGACGAAAGCACTCGGGTCGAAAGCACAGCGGTCGCCATCCCACTCTGCTACCCCCCCCCTCGTGCAACCTCGTCCCTCCCTGCGACCACTCCTCCCTCCCCACCTTTTTCCCCGACCTCCCCTCCTTGTGGTTCCTCTTCCCCCCCCCCCCCATCAGCTGCGGCAGCGGCTCTTCCGCCGTGGCAGCGCATTCTCTCTGACTCGCCTCTCCCTTGCAGCGGTCGCTGGGGGAGGGGGCTCAAGTGGGCAGCACATCCTCTCACACCTCCCCGTCCCACGTCTCCCCCTCTCATTCCTCCCCCTCTCACTCCTCCCCCTCACACGCCTCTCCATCCCACTTCTCTCCATCTCACGCGGGGGCATCAGCAGCTGCGACAACTGCCAATGCTGGTGTGGCTGCCTTGCCTGGCGCTGCACGGCACTTCTTCCCGCGCTCCTTCACCACTAGCAGTGACAGCAGTAGCCCTCTTCACTTCCTCGCGCCCTCTCTCCCGCATTCCAACTCCATCACCACTGATGGGAGCAGCATAGAGGAAGTGAGCGGGGAGGCTAGTAGCTGCGAGGTGGGAGAGGTGGAGGGGAGAGCGGGAGGAGGAGAGGAGAAGTTGGGCCAAGGTGATGAGGGGGGTAGCAGCGACAGCCACAATAAGAACAGCAACAGCAAAAGCGGCAGTTGCATCAGCAGCAACAGCAGATGCAGCACCCATGACAGCAAGGGCAGCAGCAGCAATGCTCGTCGCCATCCAACGCCCCCCCGCATCCCACCATTGGCCCGCCCTCCCCTCACTCTCCCGCCTCTTACCCTCCCCCTGCCTCTACCACTCTGCCGCGCTCTTCCTCCCCGTCTCCTTCTGCCTCCCTCCCACAACCGCCACGTCTAGAAATGCAAGAGGCGCTGAGAAGGCAAGGCAGGGGAGAGATGGGGAGCATGGGGGGACATCACAAGCAGCAGAGGCCAGCATGGGTGGGGAATCCAGGGCGGCAGCTGTGGTGGGAGCAGCTACAGCTGGCGGATGGACAGGTGAAAGGGGAGCTGAATCAGCAGCAGGCGGAGGAGCAGCAGGAGGAGGGGGGGAAGGAGGAGGATCAGGAGAAGGAGGGAGAGGAGCAAGGGGGGGGGAAACGAGGAGGGAGGAAGGGACGGGGGGTGGTGGGGCAGCTGTTGGGGCAGGGCATGGCGGCCACCGCCGTGCGAGTGGACCGGCGGACGCGGCGGGCCATTGAGGACCCGCTGCTGGGGGAGGCGTATGAGGTGGTGCTCTACTTCGGCATCATCGACATCCTGCAGGTGAGGGGCGCATGGGGGGAATGAATGAAGCCATTGGCGTGTGGCCCTGAGTACAGGTTGATGCCTCGCAAGCACCCAAGCATCCCAACTCCCCATTCCGTCCTACACCTCCTCCGTTCTCCTTCCCTTCCTTTCCCTCTCCCTCCCCTCATTCCCAACCGCCCCTCTTCTCCCCACCATCCTACACCCACAGGAGTACGACGTGACGAAGAAGGTGGAGCATCTGTACAAGAGCCTGAAGTATGACGGCCACTCCATCTCAACTCCCCTTGCGACTTATCCTCTCCGCCCCTCCCTCCTCCTCCCCACGCGCACTCACAGGAGTACGACGTGACGAAGAAGGTGGAGCACCTGTACAAGAGCCTGCAGTACGACGGCCACTCCATCTCCGCCGTGAACCCGTCGCTCTACGCGCGCCGCTTCCGCTCCTTCATCTACGCCACCTTCCCCGACCCCCTCACTCCGCACAAACCCGCACCTAACGTCCTGACGATGATGCTGATGGTAACGGTACCGATGATGGCGATGGTGCTGGTGGTGATGGTGCTGCTGATGGGATGATGGTAGTGATGGTGGTGATGATGACGATTTTCTTCTGCCCTCGCCCCTGGGGGTGTTCGGACGTCTTGCAGCATTCTCCGTCTGTCGCACTTCTAGCGTTGAATGAGGTACTACTGTGCATTACGTTACATCATATTTATATCTCGTATTGTACATCAATTACATTACAGTCTGCACACAATGCAACCTGTACACTGCTGTAGTCAATGAAAAGAATCGTGGCACTGTAATGGCGTGCCCTGCCTGCTCCACCCATACCCTGCCTGCTGCCGGCAGATCTGTCCCCACTGCTTACACTGACAGCAAGTGCACAGCAGCAGCTGCTGCCTCTACACCTGGAGCCCTTCCACACACAAACTGCCATGCCCCCCTGCCCCGGCTCTCACCGTGCTACCTGTCACGGCTGGCACCGTGGGCAGGTGCAGATGAGCTGGCACTGCAGCTGCGATGCTTCCAGGTGCTGCAGCAGCACCTTGAGCTGCGCCACCTGCACATAACACTCCCATATCGGTCACCCGCTGCCATGCCGCCACGCCCCTCACCGCACTGCCTATCACGGCTGGCAGCGGGGGCACGTGCATGTGAGCTGGTGCTGCAGCAGGGTGGCCTGCAGCTGCTGCCGCTGCGCCTTGAGCTCCTCCACATACGCCACCGCACCGTCGATCATGGCTGCCATGTCGCCCCGCCCCCGCACTGCCCGCCGCAGCCGCTGCAGCTCCTCACTGCTCGGGTGGGCGGGGGAGCAGGAGGCAGGGAGCATTGAGATGAGGGTGCAGGAGACAGGGAGGATGAGGACGAGGAGAAGGATGCGGGCCTGTGCCCAAGTGTCAGGCTGATGCCACGTCAGGTGGGGCTGGAGCATTGGGTGTGCGTGGGGGAGCGGACGAGTGGAGGTGGGAATAGGGGGCGGGGGAGGGGGCGTTTGCTGCGGGTCGTACCTGATGCGTTCTCGTCGTGCTCGTTCCGTCACACTCTTGCCCCTTGCCACCTCCACCAGACGAACCTGCCTCGACTGTCCCTCCTCTCACTCTACCTGCTGAGCCCATCCCTGCCCCCTCGCCTCCTTCCATCCCTGCCCCTGACGCCACCCCTGCCTCTAACCCGCCCTCATTTCTCCGCCTCTCTCTCGCCTGCCCCCTGCAGGAGACCCAGCCAAGCCACGTGGCTCTGAGGCTTCCTGGAACGTGGCAAGGGGGTCAAAGCCTGTGCGGGAAATGCTGGGGGGAAGCGGTGCGAGCACCTGTGGCAGGGCTGGAGCACCCATGATATCAGCACCCGTGGGGTGAGCACCTGTGGGGTGAGCACCCGTGGGATGAGCACCCATGACCTCGTTACTGATGGCGTCGCATTCCGACCACAGCATCTCCTCATCCACGCCCATGCCTTCTGCGCCCACCGCTGCTATCCCCTCTGGCCCTGCTGCTGCCACACGCCATGCGCCTTGAAGGGAATTGGACAGCGGACTTATGGGCGCTGAAAGCGGACTGAAAGCGGCTGGATTCTGGTTAACAGCGGCCGGTTGCTGGGCAGGGAGAGGTGTAGGGAGTGGGCAACAGGCACGGGCGGCGAATGGGGAAGGTGAGGTGCGGATGAGGAGTGGGGGAAGGAAGGCATGGGCAGAGAATCGGGGAACGCAGTTGAGGGTGGCGAGTGGGGTACGAGAGGCCCGGGCTGAGAGTGGTGCAGGAATGGCCTGGGTGGGGCGTGGGGGCGGAGGGCCATGGGGCAGAATGCGGGAGCAGAGGCATGGAGGGTGAATGGGGAGGAGAGGCATAGTTGGAGGGTGGGGGAGGAGGGGCATGGGGGGAGGCCAGGAGGCAGAAGTAGGGAGAACAGCAGGTTGCATTGCTGCACCACTGTGATCTAATGCAGCGGCGATGGCCCCTGCTGGCCATGTGCCATCCCCCACGCCCGCCCCGGCACCAGCAGCACCATCGCCAGCAGCAGCGCCATCAGCAGCAGCAGCAAGAGCCGTGGGTAGAGGCACTAGAGGAGCCGCGCCACTCCATCTGCCGGTCGCTCTGGGTGCAGGCGGGCCCATCCTCTGCTGCACGGATCCCACCCGCCCTGCTTGCCACCTCTCCGCCCTGTTGCTGCTGCTGCCGCCACCTTCCCTCATCCGCCCCTTCGCTTCTGCCCCTCCTGCCCCGCCACCCACCACACCTGCGCCTGCAGTCAGCCCACGCGCTGCACCAACCACGGTCGCTCGGTTCCGGACCTTGGGGTCAGGCCATGGCCCCCTGCTACCCCCTCTCTGCACTGCAAGCCCCTGGCCGCCTGCAGTGTCTCGCATTCCTGGCCCCACCCCCTGCACTCCCGCGTCTCCCATCAACCGCCGCCTCACGTGCTCTGCCCTGCTGCCCCACATCCTCACCTCCATTGCCCACCGCTCTCTTCTGCCCACATCGTCACTCTCTCGCCCATGTCTCCCTCGCCTGCCATGCCTCTCTCGCCACCACTCGTGCGCGGACGAATCATGGAATCACCACCCATTGCAGCCATGCTGCGTGCACGAGCAGGCTCGGAGTGAGCAGGCTCGGAATGAGCGCCGCTGCTGCTGCTGCTGCGATGCGGACCAGGCGCCACAGCGGGGCGGCGCAGATGCGCAGTGAGGGCGCGCACCATGTCCTCCCGACTCGCTCGGAACGCGCTGAAATGCACCCCACTGCCGTCCACGCTACTGCTGCTGCTGCTACCGCCACCTGCGCCACCATCCGCCCTCTGCCTTGCGCCTGCGCCTGCGCCTCTGCCTAGCAGCCTCTCGCTTTGAAAGGGAAATGCGCAGCCATCGCTCCCCCCCCGTCGCTTGCTCACCTGGCGTGAGCTTTCCTGTGCGTCAGAGGCGAGGGACGCGGAGCCAGAGCGCGGAAGATGCGCCATGATGTCCTCAATCCCGCCGCCTCCGCCCCTCGCATCCGCGCCGTCGCGTTCCTCCGCGGATGATTCCGCCACCATGTGCGCGCTGCTAGAATCCGAACCTGTCGTTCTGAGCTCTCTCCGAGTCGCCTCGCCGTCTACGCGGCGGCGCTCCTCATCCCGCTCATTGCGTGTGCTTGCGCGCCGTGACCCCGTGGCCGCCATTTCTCGCGCGCGTTCCTGCGCCTCTAGTTCCGCCAAAGCGCGCGCAAGCGGATAATCGCCGCTCTCCGCCCCACGGGGTCGCACATCCGCAGCCGCGATTTCCCTACGGCTTGCGCCCACGCGCCTCCCTGCGTATACCCGCGGAGAGGCTAGTGTTGCGCCCGCTGTTGCCTCAGGCGCAATCTCACACGGGGAAAACGCGCACTCCGCATGCCGTCGCGGCAGTCCTGGCGGTGTGACAGCGCTGCGCGGCGAAGCTTTGGGAGGCAGCGCGTGGATGGCGACGGGGGAAATGCGGGGGGGAGATGGAAGCGGGGAGGAGGGGAGCGGGGGAGAGTCGCTCATCTCCGACAGCAGGCTCGCGAGCAGCTGAACAGACATCACGTCCGGCGGCGCCTCACCCTTGGGCTCTCCGTCAACGCGCGCCGAATGCTCAGCAGGCAGGCAGTAATGCGCGTTACGATGAAGCATCCCCGACGCGGCGCCGGGACTTGGGGTAGCGGTACTGGAAGTCGAAGCGCAAGGTGCGGAATTGTTGGCGGGAAAGCGGGGAGCTGGGGAGGCATCGCGAAGAAATCCACATCGCGTTGTAACGATGACAGTACGTTATATTGCGCCGCCGAATGCGCGGGCCTGACGGCGTGAACTTCTGGAAATTCGTCTCCGTTAGGGTTCGTATGTTGAAGCTCGCTCGTTTCTTTCTCCATGTCGAGCTTCTGAGACTCTTGACGCACTGACAACGAGAATGCTACATTAGACTGCGGGGAACGCGAATCGAGGGAAATGCTCGAAATCAGCTAAATGTTGTGGGTGGTGGTAAGAGGTGGCGTGACATTTCAAACAAGCGGTGAAACACAATGGCTAGAGCTGCTGATGTCAGATAGGAAAAGCAACAGATGGATTGTTGTAGGGAGACTGAAATTTGAGACCCACAGTTTCATGCTGGTGAATGCTGCTTCCCTCAGTTGCACGCCCGCACAGCGCACTCTGCGAAATGTGCCTCCGAGCCGCGAACAAATCACGCGCTGCGAAAGGACACCCCCCTCACCTCCGTTACAAATTGCGGGCAAGACCCTTCAGGTGGACCGTGGAATGGTGGAAGGGTGAAGGAACGGAGCAGTCCAGGCGGGGCTCGATCAACACACCAGGCCTCTCGATATCTTAGGGATCGCCCTGCAGTTTCCGAGTTTGCCCGGGGTCCAAATCGTCCAGGCTGGGTAGCCCTAAAAAGTTTGACTGTTTTTGCAGGCAAGAGTTTCGTCAAGCTCGGAATAAGCCACTCCTGACAATGACAGTGGGAGAATTTTTTACTAGGGACGCGAACGTTTACATTAGATTTTACAGGGCGGGTTTATCCCGTACTCGGAAATTGGCCGTGGGACATTTCTGGCTTGCCTGTCCATGGACGGGTATAGATATTCTGAATGCGTCAAAAGCAGGGCAAGGTTAAACTTTTACCCTGTTTTCCTTGACAAATCAGTGTAACTGCCTTTATTTCCAGAGGCCTGCAACACACTTTCGGACGGTTCGCCCCTTAAATTGGACCTAATGTGCTCGACCAATCACTGCCTCGCCCCAACACCGCCATGGCTTTGCGGCAACCTGAAAGCTCAAGCTGGGCGGCTGCGGGTCGGTTGGTGGCAGTGTAAGCGTGCCTTGCTTGAGGCAATGTGCTCCTTGAAGTGCAGTACACTTTTCCTCCGCCATTTTCTCAGTTTACTGTACCTTGTTATTAGAATTGTAGCTTGTCGTTAGTAGGAAGTTGAGAAATTAGCGCCTGCCAGTGCGTTGGTGCTAATTTCTCGAAAAGGAACCATGCTGGCGGTCCTACTGACGGGATGCCCACAGAAAATCCAGCTGACTCAGCAGCTTCGAGAGATCGTACGGTTTTGAGAAGGGTAGAACCCTCATCGACTCATCACAATGCCCCACGTAATTTTTCAGGCAATCACATCCTTTCGGGCTGTGAGCAGCCTCAGCTCCCACCAACGGCTGCGATTCCACGATGGTACCTAGCAGGTAGCTGACATGGCGAACTGAACTGAACCTTTCCCATAACTTTTGAGCATTACCTGGCAGCTGGTCAGAAGAAGCGACAAACCCTGAGAAGCCGCCAGAGAAATTGGCGGAAGACAAGTGCACTGTACATGTCGTCGGTCTGGTCAGTCGATGGACTGACCATCGTGGCGATGAACAGTCGCCGCATGCCCTTCTACAGTGTACGCGTCAGGTTCGGAAACGCGGAGCTTGAGGTGGGGGGGAGGATGCATGGTTTACTTGCCAATGAGTCTGCTGCTTGAACGAATTGGTCCAATGGTTCTCCTACACATTGGCATGGTGCATGAACAAGGAAAGTTCATGGACTGTGTTTCAGTCGAATAGCCCAGAGTCCGAAGGGATGGGGTTTCTTGCGTGATTGCCCACAAAACGGGCTTGGGATTTAGAAAAACTCCCACAGTACACAAGCTGCATCATTTCCTTTGTACAAAATATGTAGAAAATATGAAACTGGACCGTATGTTTCCAACCAATTTGCCTCAACCAATCTGCTTTCATTTGCCGTTGCCACCACTCCTTTCTCCTCCTGGCCCTAGCGTCTGCTCGTTGACATCACTTCACATCGAATCAAGCCTCTCTCTCCCGTTCTGGTCGCATCCGATAAGTGCACACTTCAAAATATCCCCGACTCAGTCCAGCAACAAATCATGCATTTTCACTTCACCTCATTCCCCGTTTCTTCTCCCTTTCCAGAATAAGGAACACGTGCATTTAATGTTGCAATACAAACGATGCCCAACCTTATCGCAGCTCAACTCGACGCCCAACTAGAATCGTTTCCCAAAACCGCGACACACGGTCAAGGGGAGATCCGTTTGAGTCATTCATGATTGAGTTTGCGACCAACTTAAAGCATGGGACAAGTCATTGCCGACGTGGTTTCGTCGTTACGGAACTGTGTACCGCACTCGCCTTATCGCCTCACAAAAGTCGCACACTGGCAACAAATAACGCCACCCAAGCCCCCCCCCCCCCCCCCCCCCCCCCTCCCCACCACCACAATTGAATCCCCCACACCCTTAAATCTTGTGTGACTCTGACAAGCTTCTCTTAGAACTGAAGAAGTAGGTGATAGAGAGAGAGTACAAGGGTATATACCTAAGAGTGTTGTACCTTCTAAGAGGCGACCCTATACAATCTATACAAACATGAGTTATGCATATGTTTGACACACCCCCTAGACTGCATAGGTGCAAATCCTGAACAAGCAGCTCAGGGTGGCACTACTAGTCCAGCCACTGAAGCAAGGGTCTAAAGACCAGTCAAAAGGAGTACAGGCAAGCCAAGAAAATGACCAGGGCGGCACTACTAGTCCAGCCACTTGGAGAGGACACAAGTCCTGTATGAGTACACGTACAGATATATATATATATATATATATATATATATATATATATATATATAGGACAATACAAGGTCAAGGTCTTAGCAAGTGAGAGGATACAGGAACAAGCCACGGGGATGAGGGCGGCAGGCACGTCTGCCTTCCGCTCCAGGGGAAAGACTGTGGTGTAGCGCGTGAAGTCGTCGACAAGCACGAGGAAGTAGCGCTCGCGACGCGGCCCATGGACGGGGGCGGGGCCCTAGACGTCCATGTGCAGGGTCTGCAACGGCGCGGCGGTAGGGGAAACGAGGAGGAGTGAGGGGCACGGCGAAGCCGGCCCTCGACGCAAGGTGTGCACGGTGGGGCGGGGGAGGAGGGAAACTCTGGGAACGAACCGGGGAGACCAAGGACGAGACCATGCTGGGACATGTGACGCAGACGCGGGAGCGCAGGGTGACCTAGGCGGTGGTGCCACAAGAGAGTCGGGTGGGTGAGGGACCGACAAGAGCAAGCAGCAGCAACCTGGGTAGACGCAGCCACCTGGGGAGGCGTCCCAGCCGGGAGGGTCACGATGTCAAGTGTGAACAGGCCGGACATCGGGTCCCGGGGGAACGTGGACAGGGGGGCACCAGTGGCGGACTCGGTACAGACAGCATACAGCTCGTGACCAGGGAACGTAGTGGTGACGCCAAGGTCGTGGAGGCAGCCGACACCAACTAGGTTCCTGGAGAACGAGGGGATGTGCAGACCTGTGAGAGAGCCCGAAGGAACCGCCGGACAGGGAAGGGTGGTGGAACTGCGGGCGACTACCGGACCGCCAGAGGGGTCAGCAAGAGAAACAGCGGCAGGGACAGGAAGCGGCGTCAGCGTAGTGGAGTCGCGGAAGAAACACCGGGAAGCGCCAGAGTACAAGGTGAAGGAAAGCGCAGCAGTGGCGTCTGGCGGCGGAGAAGCGGCGGAAGCACCGAGGCTAAACAAAGCAGGAGATCCTACGCCTGATGCAGCAGGGGGGTCTAAGCTAGGCACATCTACACTAGGCAACAAGGGGTAATAAGAGGGAAGCACACTAGAGTCATCAGCATACATCACATGCAGGGCGGCAACAATGGCATCCATGTCCAAGTCAAAAATCTGAACCTGACGACTAAGCAAACTGTGCCAGTCCGGGAGGTCGGGCGACGGGCCGAAGCGCTGACGGAACAGGTCGTCCAAGCGACGAAAACAGCGATGAGTGGAGTGACTGATCTTACCGCAAACGAAGCCGCGGCGAGGACCGGTCTGGATCTGGTACTGACAGCGCACGCCTCCGGAACCACCACCCTGCCCACCACCACGTGCACGGCCACCACCAGCTCCAGGCCACCCGGGTGGGAGGGCACTCGCCTGCCTCGGCTGCTGCGACAGCTGCGGCTGCTGCGACGGCTGCTGCTGCGGCTGCTGCAACGGTGGAGGCGGCTGCTCAGCTGGAGCGAGCGGGGTGCTCGCGTCCGCTCCAGCACCAGACGGCCCGCCTCCACCACCACCTCCACCGGCACCCCCTCCTCCCCCGCCACGCCCAGCCTTGGGGCGGCGGCCCTTCCCCGGACGGAAATGCGCTGCGGCAGCGGTCTCAGCCACAGCGGCAGAACCATCGGAGAAGGTGCACTGAGGAGGGGCAGAACCCTGAAAGATAGGGATCGGCACAGTACCGCTCGCCTGTGCGATAGAGCGGTGGCGGGTCTCAATCAGAGTCAAGGTGTCTACAAAGTCTGTGAGGGTGAGGTCACCAGGGTGAAGGCTAAGGAACTGGTCGCGAGCGGCGGTAAGGCGATTTGGGAGGCGGGTGGCAAGCAAGTAGAGGGTAGAGGTCATGGGCGGCTGGTGGGCTCTAAGCTGTGCGTCAGTGCAGACAGCGCGCCAGGTCTCATCGATAGTGCGCAGGTGGGCAGCTAGGTCCGCGACAGTGGGGAAAGACGCAAGGTCAGGAAAGAGCATCGGGAGGATCAAGCGACCCACGGATGCAGCAGGCGGGGTGGAATAGCGCTTGATGACAGCATCTAAGAAGGCCTGAGCGGTAGTGATAGACCTAAAGCGGGGACGCTCAGACAGAGGTAGGGCATTGCTAATGGCAAGCTGCGCGACAGCGTCTCGAGAAAGCCAGACAGAGCGAGCAAGGGCAGCAGTGGCAGCAGACTCGCGCTCAGCGGATGTGGGGTCAGCGGGCAGCACAACAGGAGGGTCTAGGCGGGGAAGCGTACCGTCAAGGTGTGCCGACAGTGGGTGACCATCCTGCCGCTGGCCAGTGAGGTGGCGGCGGAGGTAAGCAAGCCACGCCTCGAACTCAAGAGGCTGGCCTTCAGCGTCGAAGCGAAGCTCCGCCGCCATCAGGAACAGTGCATTGCAGGGCAGTGCTAGGCGGTGCAGTGCAGTGCAGTGCGGTCCAATGCGGTGCAGCGCGGTACAGTGCGGTGCGATGCAGTGCGGTGCAGTGCGGTACAGTACGGTGCTGTGCGGTGCAGTGCAGTGCTTTGTGGTGTAGTGCAGTGCAGTGCGGTGCAATGCGGTGCGGTGCGGTGCAATGCGGCACAATGCGGTGAAAAGGTGGTGGAGAACCGTACCAGGGAGAGTGCAGATCGGACGGTCGTAGGGCCGTCGAGGAAGGGCCGGAAGTCGACGCGGGGCCGGCCGGGACAAGCACGGGAGCCGGCCAGGACGGGCGCGGGACCGGCAGGGACGGGCGCGGGGCTGGCTGGGACAGGCGCGGGGCCGGCTGGGACGGGCGCGGGGCCGGCTGGGACAGGCGCGGGGCCGGCTAGGACGGGTGCAGGGGCGGCCTGGACGGGCACGAGGGGCCGGCTGGGACGGTCGCGGGGCCGGCTGGAATAGGTGCAGGGCCGGCTGGGAGGGGCACGGGGCCTGCTGGGACGGTCGCGGGGCTGGCTGGGACGGTCGCGGGGCCGGCTGGGACGGTCGCGGGGCTGGCTGGGACGATCGCGGGGGCCTGCTGGGACGGTCGCGGGGCCGGCTGGGACGATCGCGGGGCCTGCTGGGAGGGTCGCGGGGCCGGCTGGGACGGTCACGGGGCCGGCTAGGACGGTCGCGAGGCCGGCTGGGACGGTCGCGGGGCCGGCTGGGACGGTCGCGGGGCCGGTTGGGACGGGCGTGGGGCCGGCTGGGACAGTCACGGGGCTAGCTGGGACGGTCTAGGAGAGGCGCGACGGGCCAGGAGGCGCGACGGGCTAGGAGAGGCGCGACGGGCTAGGAGGCACAAACGGGGGGGGGGGCCAGGAAGGGCGGGACGGGTGCTAGGGGGGGGGGGCGCGACGGGCCCAGGGGGGGGGCGCGACAGGGCCCAGGGGGCACGACGGGGCCCAGGGGGGCACGACGGGGCACAGGGGGCGCGACGGGGCCCAGGGGGGGGGCGCGACTGGTCCTAGGTGACGCGACGGGGCCTAGGGGGCGCGACGGACGGGGGTAGGTCCTAGGGCGGAAGCGTGGGCGGGCGGGGGGGACCTACCTACTGCTGATACCATCTTAGAACTGAAGAAGTAGGTGATAGAGAGAGAGTACAAGGGTATATACCTAAGGGTGTTGTAGCCTCTAAGAGGCGACCCTATACAGTCTATACAAACATGAGTTATGCATATGTTTGACAGCTTCAACTGTAGTGGAGTGCAGTGTCGAGGTTTACGACAGAGAAATGCCGTAACGGACGGATACTAAAGAATAAAATCGCATTCGTAGGGTGAAGTTCACCATCTGGAACTGACGTTATGACGTCAGGTGGCCACCTTTTGTGGAACGTTCAGGCCAGGAACAAATGCATAGTGATGTTTTCTGCTGGTTTGGCAACGCTGTGTGTGGATAATAATTTGATGACAACATACGGGGTAAAATCAACAAATCCAATTTAATAAACTCTCTTTATATATAAGCCTCTTAGGCCCATTACATCAATCCATTCCAGCTAATGCCCACAAAAAACCCAGACTGACCCGTGATTTCATATACCAGTATACGACTATACGTATTACGCTGGTGATTTCCACTTGGTAACTAAAAGGATATCCTGCTTGAGAGCTAGGTCTCAGAGTATAATTGTAGATAGAATGTGAGATACATGATGGATATGTCCAAGGGGTTGTACTCTCTAAGAGTACGCACCTATCTATCATATAGTAATATATACATATACTGTATATTTGACACACCCCTTAGGCTAGATGAGGGGCAGTGCCGGGCAAGAGACATGCAGCTCAGGGTGGCACTACTACTCCAACCTCTGAGGCAAGAG